AGCAGGAGGAGGAGGAGGAGTAGTAGTAGTAGTAGTAGTATTGTTGTTGTTTGTGTTGTTGTAGTAGCAGCAGCAGCAGCAGGAGTAGTAGTAGTAGTAGTAGTAGTAGTAGTAGTAGTACTATATATGTAGTATAGTAGTAAAGAGTTCAGGATTTAAGGTGTAGGGTTCCGGGTCTAGGGTGTATAGGGTTTCGGGTGAGGGTCAAGATCCGAGTGTAGGGTTCAAGGTTTGGGGTGATGATCGAATTCGGGTTTGTCACTTGTGGGCATCGCTTTACTTGGACCCGAAAGTGCCTACTTTTTTAGGGTTCCTTATTATNNTTATGATTTCCGTATATAAGTCCTTAGAAATGCATTGAGGGGAGCTTTGGGACGCGGCACTGGAATCGCCTGTGGCTGTCATGCTTTGGAAGCTTTGGTGAAAAGCCTTATCGAATCCTACATGTAGGTGATGTCGTCTATACTAGTATATAGTGCATTGTCTCAAGTCAACAAAGGCTGGCAAGATACCCTCTATACCGGAAGCAAGCCCTGCAAACAAGAACCTGCAACACATCACCCAAGAAGCAAAACCTGCCAAGATACCCCCCATAGTGGCCAAGATATCCTCGAATAGGTATATACCGATATAGATATATCTCCCCGAATAAGCCTGATCCTTCCGAGGTATTCTCCAATGAGTACTACCTGACCGGACACCTGGCAACACCTCAGAATGCACCCCAATAACCCACAAAACCTGGCAAGATGTGTTGGGATGCATGGGTTGTTAAGGATTGAAGGTTCATGTTAAAGGGTCTGCAATAATTGTATAAGGCAAGTTCACGATGTGTTTTTGTTGCAAAGGTTTGTTGGTTGGACTACAATAAAGCGGGGCTATTGTGGGCTTGAGAGTTCCCGATAGCACAAGAAGCCTCCATTTTCTTCTGGAGCCAGAGGAAGCGTTGGCTCTGCATAAGCAATGATGTTCTCGGTTGTTCCACCACCCACCATTGACCCAAACTTGTAGCCAACAAGCATATGAATGCCGACCTGAGCCCCAAGAGTTTATGCCCCAATGACTTGTGATGAATTCAACACATCTCGATGGCCCACATGATGTAACCCCGGGCCTGGCTGCCATAAGGTTGGAATCGCGAACTTTCTCGTAGCCTGTATATCCTTCAGGATTCGCGTAGCTTCGCTTGGTGCTTGGGCGGGACATAGATACCCACGAGCTGCAAAGAACTCCTAGCCATATGCAAGTTTGGGGGCGACCACAAAGAACTGCTGCACAGAATGTCCTGGCTTCTTTAGACTTCAAAAGCTACAAACACTTGTATACCCTGACCCCGATCCGTGCAGCCCACGAATAGTATGGAAGCAAGCTACCCGAAGCCCGAGGGCTTCAATATATCCATGCCCCGGCCATACTTGTAATCGCAGGCAGCTACTTCCTTCCCCTCGTAGAAGAACTCCTTGGAGAGGGTCGCTGAACCAGAAAACAGCTCTGCCAGATCGACGTCCTGGCGCGTGATAAGATTAGAGGTGCGAGGTTTTAGAACGGCTGTAGGGTCCATGCTAGGGGTTCAGGGGTTTAGGGTTTATATAGTTTATAGGGTTTATAGGGTTTATGGGTTTATAAGTATATACATCCAGGGTTCGGTGAGGTTACGAGTGTCTCTAAGTGTGCACATAAATGTGTATACACACATATATGTATACATATATATATATATATTGAACACACACACACATATATATATATATATTAGTCAATACAGTTGTCCGTACATGATAGTATGTCTGCATGGGGGAGGATGCATCATTGGTGTATGCAGCACAACCCTAGGTTTGGATTGTTGAAAACTGCATGAGATTATACTCGAATCCCTAAGTGGCTGATCGGGGCTCCTGGGTCTATTGGTGCTATGGGTCCCCGTAAAGTATGTATTCTCTATATTTGTCACATAAGATATTAGAATTCTACGAAACCCAGGGCAATCAGGAAACAAAGCTTGTAACCTCAGGCTGGTTTGTGTTGCCGGGTTAAACATGGTAGCACTAGGACATGTCAAATATGAGTGAGGGAGTATACGGGATGTTGCAAGATGCTGGAGCTGCCTTTGTGTGCAGCCTGTCCTACAAAGAATCACGAACCGAAGCCAAACCCTCCAGGAACCATAACCATGGATAGATACATCCAAAAACAGATATGTATATATATATATATAATATATATATAATATATATAATATAATATATATAATATATACTATTTTATTATTATATTCGAACCCTTAGCAAAGGCATCCTGTTAAACACCGAGTCCTTGGTAAAGTCGATACTCGTATTCCACAAGAGCAGCAGGATGCAAAGCACGAAGACCTGAGCCACAGAATTTGAAGACTTGGGGTTTTGAGGTAGAGGGTTATTTTGGATTAGGAGGCTTTCGTTTTCATAGAACCGGCTCCCTTCGTGTCACTCCGAGAATGCCTGGGGCACATGTGTTCTGGGATTGAACTGGCAACATAATTTGTATACGGGCCCGTTTGGCTTCACGATTTCGGGTTTAGGGCTCTGGAACCAGTTTGGGCTCCACCTTGGACCTTGAAACCTAACCCAACCCAAACCCTGAACCCTAAAGTAACCATATTAAATCCCACACACCCCCCAAAGCATTGACTTGCTCCTCAAGACACCTTGGGCGACCCAAGGCGAATCAAGCCAAGCGCTACATCTTCAAAGCTGGGTTTCGCCATTGGAGCGACGGCGACAGCGGAGGCTATATCGATGATTTCATTGTGAAAAATCCAGCACGTTTTGCATCCAACAATCTAGAGATATAGAGCACATGAAGCTTGACTGCCAGCATTGCAGACCTATCTCGGTCGTTGTCGGACCCATGAATCACAAACGGTTTGCATACACATCGCACTCGTCCGAACTTAAACTGGCAAGGGTGGCTGCTCCTGGCTCGCTGGCGCTCTGAAGCTGCAGCACTGAGCAAACGATGCCTGGCGCCTTTGCGCCGAAGGTAGTTCCGAACCTGCCAGATCATGGGTCATCGTGAAGTAGAATTTATGATCATGTAAACAGGTAAAGGCAAGTGAACTTCTTCAGTACTGACACGCACCGGAGCAAAGATATTTTCACCTTGCACACAGTAGCCGTGATCATGGCCCATCATGGAAAGAAGCCGCACGGTCGTGAGCAGCACTCAGCTTCGAATTATCTCGAGAGCCAACAGCTTGCCCCCTGACAGCATGTGTTCACGCTAGCATAACCTGCCGAGCTTTCAAAAGCTCGTCCCGGTAGCGGAAGCATACAAGCAGGAAGCATGCACCCCAGCTGGCCCGGGTTCACCGAGCATCCTGTGTGGATGCAAGCACGTAGCAACTGGAGCTGAAGGCCTATATGAATATATAGGATGGAGTCACATTGGCTCAGACTGGGTTGTAGAACGAATCAAGAGCAACAATCCAGCTCCGGCTTCATCGGCTTAGTCAGAAATAGTCTCTAGAAATTTCTCGGCTGCCAAATAGCAGCCCCTGTACACAGCAACTCTCTCCTGTTGCTCGTCCAGCTCAACGAACTGCTTCGCGAAGTCGAAGAATGTGGACTGAAAAGGGCCCATGTAGATAAGTTTAAGTAAGCTGGGATAGTTTGTTCACGGGGCGACAACACCGGGCAACGGATCGAAGCTTTGGAGATCTATAACTTTAGGGTGTTAGGGTTTATAAGCTTTAGGGTTTGGGGTTTAGGGTTTAGGGTTTTGGGGTTTTAGGGTTTAGGACAGCCGAAGAATCAATAGGCAATACCACGGTGCAAGTTTCATGCACAGGTTACATTGGGCTGACATTTTATATACGTAACAAAACCAATTTATATTTATTTTGAACACCAGGCCTGAGTGCTTGTCGCAGTTCCCGGCACGAGGTGGGGCATCAAGACATTGCGAAACGCACACACACATCCCTCCCAAAACTTCTGTGTGATGTTGGACTTGGCAGGTCTGTAGCGGCGGGCAAACGTGTTTGGCCACTCCATCCCACTTATGGTCTGTGCCCTCTTTGCCTTCGGCTCCACCTTCTCGTCTGCACTCCTCTTGCCACGAACCCTTGAAGCAGGAACAGCAGCCTCCTGGGGCACATTGCCCCGCTTGGTTCTCTTCGACTTAGGCACGGCAACCTCCGTCTTGGATCGCCCACCCTTGCTCTTCGTCTCCGACGGCTCGCAAGAGCCGGCCTTCCCGGCGACCTGGTCCGGCTCGGACAGCTCGCACTGAGCCTTCTTGCGTCGACCAGGCTTCTTCTTAGGCTGGGTCTCCTCAATCTTCTCGGGCACTTCGGTCGTCTTGTCATTAACAGGCTCGCCAGCACCATCATCCGCCTCAGGCGTGGATTTCTGCCCACGGCCACCACCACGACCGCGGCCACCGCGGCCACGTCCTCTCCCGCGGGAAGCCTCTTTGGCTTCCTTGCTTGCCTTGCTTGCAGCCTGATCAGCTTTCTTCTTGGCTTCGTTGCCAGTCTTGCACGCAAGCTGCTGGTCCCGCGTGGGGTACTCCTTCATGGGCGTGATGTCGGCCGGCACGATACCATGGGGAGTCGGGGTATGCAGCTCCTTGTCCACTGGCAAAGAATCCGCCGGTGACTTCACATCCACCGAAGCCGGACTCAACACCATCGTCTTATCCTCCGCAAACCTGCGGCCCGGAGATGGCACAGTCTGGTCCAAGCCAAGCAAAGCCTGGGCCACCACTTGGGTGTTCACCTCGAATGCCTGCGTCTCCATGGCATCCGGATTCGTTGCTCCTCCTTTGGAGGCGCATGCTGCAACAGCCGGCATCACGGAGCCTGGGTTGGCCTCCTCGTCAGAATCCACTTGGATCGGTCCTCCAAAATGCCCAATGTCATGTGTCAGACATCATGCATGCATGTGCAATGATCAGACACGAAAGCCAAGTACATGCATGTCCTGTCGGAAGAGTCTTGGCGAACTGCTTCGCGGCACGTTTGCGCTCGATGGCCATCCTCGACTATTATATTGAACTCTCTATTTTCAGATGATTGTGTGGCACAAGAATTCTCATGAACATATGCAGCCCAGCTTCAATCGCTGGGCCTCCATCTTCAACTCTGCAATCACGAGTTGCTGCTGCAGCTCCTGTTGCGATGGCTGCCTAGGTGGCAGAGAAGACGGATCCTTGACACGAGGATCCTCCGGATTTGTTGGCATTGCCGCGATCGAACCCTTGTCCTCTGGCACCTGATTTACCGTGGCCGTTTCTGGAACCACTGCATCTGGGGCCTTGTCCTCTGGCACAGGATTTACCGGGGCCGTTTCTGGAACCACTGCATTTGGGGCCTTGTCCTCTGGCAAGGGATTTACCGGGGCCGTTTCTGGAACCACTGCATTTGGGGCCTTGTCCTGTGGCACCGGATTTACCGGCAAATCTACATCCATAGCTGCCTGGTCCTCGGGCTCCTCAATCTCTGTGGGCAAGTCCAAGTCTGCAAGTACCTCAGACGTCGATTGCTTAGGCTCCGTAGTAGTCGGAGCTTCAGCAGAATCCGCGGGATCGTCGATGTCATCGTCGTCCCCTCCAGCCCTCAAAGCTCTGGCCAAACGATCTCCAACCACCTCAATGGAAGAACGACTCTCTTGAAGGATCTCAAATTAGCAGTTGCAAACTCCATTCAGCTAAGGATACACTTGTCAGGTTTTCGTAAGCTCGCTGGAACTCAGCCACCATCCTGCGAAAGGTCCGGTCCTCACATACAGACAAGCGAAAGGCAAACAAAACCCGGACGAAACGAAGTCCCCGAGCGAAGAAACATGAGATTCCTAGTACAATCAAGCTTCTCTCGGAGTTTGGCCGCGCATCCACTTGCGCTTCACACACGTGAGCATGCGCTTCAAACCCCATCCGTCCGAGTACGCAGCAACACCCAACGATGCAGCATCTGGATAGCCGGAGTGGCAATGGAACTCCAATGTAGCTCCTTGCAGCAGAAACACCTTTGGCACGAAAATGCAAGCCTCATCGGCCATCAGTTTCAAGGTGATCAGCAACACCTCGCTGTTAATTTTGCAGCATTCGATGCTGCCGATCACAACCTCGTGGTCACCGTGCCCTGGCACAATCATTCCACGCAAAAGGTTTCGGCCCTGCAGGCTACGCTCTCGAAGAGGACGTCTGGACTCCCACACTTGTGGCAGCTGTGCCACCCATTGGAAGCTCTTAGCATCGAAATCACTACTCGACGCCGCCATGGCGCTGACTAAGCAACAGCTCACTCGAAAACAAAAGCCTTCCCGGTAACAAAATGCATGCTGTCACGGGTATTCAATCTCCGAACAGAATCGGTGAGCTTGCAGAAGCCGACTTGCCGACCCGGCCTTGTCGGAACTCCAGCTGGTGGGACGATCCTCCGCCCTGCGCAAAGGCAACACTGCATGGTGCTCCCAATCTCCATGAAACATGAATCAACCCATGCCGGCAGCTCATGGCGATGCCAGGTTTCCCCGATCATCCACCGTGGACACCAGGGCCCTGCCACAAAAGCAACCAATTTAATGGACATTCCCCCTTGTAATCGACAAAAGCACTACCCAATCTGGCCGGGCACACATACCACGTCACATCCGCCTTCAAACTCGCCGCCATCTCGCCAGCATCGACCCTGCCGTGCAGCAGAGGTAGCCATATATGCTCTATTTAGCTCCCGCCCTAAATGTCCAAAGAAGCTCAACTTGGCCGGGTGGACCGGACACGTAGTCACACCATGGGAGCACACCATGGGAGCATGAACCACCGAGCTTGCTTTGGGATCGCAGACATACTCTTAAATTGCGCAAAGTGTGTTGTCCATGCCCTACTGTCAGAGAAAAATAACGAACTGCTAGTTTTATTTCTATTGGGCTTCGGGGTCTTATGGAAGGGTCTGAATCGGTCTGAAATTGCCGACTTAAATTTCGACGATCTCCACCAAAGAAACACCATATGATCGATACATTCGATTAGAATTAAGATTCGCTCCTATGTAAACCAGCAGCCCGGTGGGAGAAATGCATGGAGACGCAGCGAGCACATCACTTCTTCCTGAGGCCACCCTGCTGGCAGGATCATTTGCTTTGTCGGAGACTATGATTATGGGCGATTATGGGCTTTGGGTTTCCCGGATATATACATGGTTGTTATATAATGCAGCAGGCAGATGCCAGTCCTTTAAAGGTTCCTAAAAAAGCCCTATAAGCAGAAATATGCTAATTACGCCCTTTCGTTCCGGAATCCGAGATTTACGCCCTCTTTCGAAAAGACCAATAATTGCTTATGCTTTCGGTGACCCAGGAATAAGTTATTATCGAAGTTGCTAACTTCCGGTGTTTTTTTGTAGCAGATTTCACTACAAAAACCGGAAGTTATCCGGAACTTGTGCGGGAGGCAAAAACGCGACATTTTTGCACAACTTGAAGTTGCACTGGTGTGCGGCAACAGAAATTGCAGTGTGTATATATATATATATATTTCTAATTATATAATTATATAATTATATAGTTATATAATTATATAATTATATGCGGTCGTGCCGCCCTGCAAAACAGAGCATGCTTTGCTTTGCACTCGCCGCGGTTGAGCCGCACCGCTGTCAAAAAGGTGTTTGCATCGTTGCCATCACGCATGTTGCCTCCACGGTCATGTATGCATTGGCGGCAAATTGGCGGTTGGGCCGCAGAATTTTAGCGTCCGGCGGTTGGGCCGCAGAAGTTATAAGTGTCCGGCGGTTGGGCCGCAGTATTTTTGCATGTTTTGCCGTGAAGCACTGTTGCTCGCAGCGCCTGCATGCATGACAGCATGGTGCATCACAGCAGCACACCCACACGCATGACGCACTCATGCCAATCTCATGCATGCATGCGTGCACATGCATGAGTCGTGCGCGCGACCCACGCGCAGGGACACGCCCAGCTCTTCCAGCTCCTCGTTTGCGGTGGAGCCGCAGTCAAAGCTGCCAAAGAACAAGCCTGCAGAAGCGGTTGAGCCGCCTGCAGAGCCGGATGCAGCAGCGGTTGAGCCGCTTGCTGCACCCGCCGCAGCAGCAAAAGAAGAGGCGACGCCGCCGGAAGAAGAGGCGGTCGAGCCGCCAGCAGCACCGCTTGCGGAGGATCCACCAGCAGCAGAGCCTGCAGTCAAGGGGGAACCCTCGCCGGATTTTAATCCGATTAAGGAGGAGCCTGCTGTAGTGGATTCACCGACCTCACCGGCTGAGCCCGCGGAGGACACGCCCATTGCGGTTGAGCCGCAAACGCTGCAGGCAGAAGCGCCGGTTCCGCCGCCTTGGCCGTCTGCGTCTGCAGCGGGCCTGCCAGTGGAGCCTCTTGCGGTTGTGCTGCAGGACGAGGCAGCTCAAGCGGTCGAGCCGCCGAATCCTGGGGCTGCGGCCACCCTGGGTCAAAATGACCCAGAGATCTGACAAGCCGGCATGGCATGGAAAACGAAAATCTGCACGTGTGCATGTCGTGTTTTCTGCTCGGTCGCGCGGCGGTGGAGGCCGCAGAATCAGTTTTCAGCACCACGGCGGTGGAGCCGCAGACCTCGGAAAACATCCATTGGGGCGGTCGTGCCGCAGAATCTAGGTTGAAAATCGTCCACAACGCCAAAACCCTCAATGTCGCTAACTGTCGCCGGACAATTTTGACCCTCCAAATCCTGCCCGGGGCCGATGTCGTCAAATGTCGCCAGACGTTTCAGTGGTTCTGGGAAGCATGATGTCGCCAAATGTCGCCAACACATGTATGACTCTTCGGAGACGTGCAGATCCATGGGCCCGGGGGACGGACCGATGTCGCCAAATGTCGCCGGACAATTTTGACCCTCCACATCATGGCAGGAGCCGATGTCGCCAAAATGTCGCTCATGTCCCCCAGCAAAATTTCATGTCCCAGATGGGCGTTTTTGCTGCAGCGCTTGGGTTCCCAGTCTGCCGCCGTTTAGCTTGAAACCGGCCTTGGAGAATGGCCTCGCAGGAAGGAGCGGCTACTCAGTTGCTGGACTCGCAGTGCTTCAAGCCGGTAGAGCCGGAGGACACCCAGTGCGAGAAGTCGGTGGAGCCGGAAGAGCAAGCCCCCAAGACGCCCGAAGCGGTCCTGCCGCCCTCCACGGCCGCGGTTGAGCCGCAGCCCTCCCCCAGCAAAGGTGCGGTTGAGCCGCCAACTTGCTGCCTGTAGGCGGGCTATGGAAAGACCATATGGCATCAACAGGCCGGGTGGCAAGACTTCTTGGTACTACAAGCCGCAATGGAGGCAGGTGAATCGTGTGGTTGTGCCACCAGCACCGCAACCTTCACCGGCTGAGCCAGATGCTGAGCCAGCAGCGGCTGCGCTGCCACGGCCTAAGCCGCCACCGCCGCCAAAACCAGAAGCTGCGGTTGAGCCGCGAGCAGTGCCTGCGGTTGAGCCGCAAGGCGCGAGCAACGGTGTCTGCAGCAGCAGC